TTAATGAAATTGCAAAGGTTAATGATAGAATGAGTTGCGAAGGGTGTATAACTTTGTGGTCTATTTCTTAAAGAAAGTTATTTTTGTAAATATCACTACAAGGCAAAAGGTACTTTTGTCATCTCCATAAAGGGTAAAGTTGAAAACATTTTATTAAAAGACAAGGGCACTATACAAATGAATTCTAGCACACTAACTTTCAAAATGCCATTGTACTTTGGTAAAAATTTCAAATTTACCCTTGTTTTGTGGTTAAGTTATCTATTAAAATAATTTTTTAAACAAAAAATAATGATCTTTTTTGATAAATGCACCCATCACAACCCTCTATCATTAGCCTTTGTATTTTGAGGGGTTGTTAACTCTAAACAAGCCTATGGGAGTGGATTCAGTATGCCCACTAGCTAACCGCTACAATAAATGCCAATGGCCCAAATTGAATCTGGGCCAATCTGATGGTCACGACCTCTTTTCGTGTTTGAATTTTAATTTTTTTTTTTTATAAATCCAAATCACATGAAATTTTAGGTGTATGTTCTTCTCATCAAAGCGCACCTAATAAAAATATAAAAAAAATTGACCAAAATACCCTTGAAACTTTACAGGGGTATTTTGGTCAATTGTTTTCATGTAAAATATTTTTTTTATATTTTTTGAAATTCACCCATTTTTAATGTACACACGCTCCAAATTTCAGATCATTCCAATTTGTAGGAATAAATTAAAATTCAAACACTACCAAACATCCAGGATCGTCAGATCGGCCCAGATTCAATCTGGGCCATTGGCGTTTACTATAGCAATACGCCATTGGGTTGACAGGATCTTTTCCCTATATATATATATATATATATATATATATATATAGGAAAAAGCTAAAAAAACGGCTATAGGCGAAAATGAATAGTGTTCACCTTCGTCACGGACTTGCTATGTCCGTGGCAGTTTATTGAACGGAGCCACAACGGATGGCGCGTGGTCCGTGGCAGTTTCCGTGGGTTTTTTTACCGCGACGAACACTTTCACAGACATGCGAAAAATCTTGCCGCCTGAAAAAAACAGATGACGATGGCACTCTGGGCGAGATCACTGTAGCATCTAGCCCATAGGCGTTACGTAAATGCTTCCATATAGATATATATATGCAGATTCCAAAACATCACAGTGTAGGACAGGGAAGGAAACTGGAGCAAGTTTTTCCCTCTAGGTTCCTTGTGTCCCTAGAAATTAGTTCATCAATACTGATGCTTAATAAATTATGTGGGATTATTAAAGGTTTCCCAATACACAAGCAGATATGGCGTGAGTACCACATGTAAGGGATTGTCATCTCCAGCTTCTCGATAAACTGTTGAAGCTTCCACTGTGAAGATGTACAACTGCTTACACTTAAAATCATATCCCTCAACAATCTTCCTTCAAGCTTTCAAGTCATAAGACAATGAGAGGTAAAAAGGTAATGGAGCAATTATGAGATCATGTAGTACTAATTTTTTGAAGTTTGACTTGGGTGGGGACTTGCATGCTACCCAAGTCATATTGAGTTGATTCAGATGAGTCTCTCTAAGACTTGGTTGGGTCTATTGATAGCACAATAGAAGATAGACCGACCCAGACGAGTCTCATAATAAACCACAATAATTGCCAGAAAGCCAGCTGACTCAATTTGGGTGAGTCCGGAATTGACTCAGGACTCAACAAGTTTTAAAACAGTGTTATAACAGGAACTTTATGTGATTGAAACTTGCCACATGAAGAACATAAGATATTGAAAATGATTGCGAGATGTCATTGTTCCCCGATCGCAATGTAAATGTGTATTTCCGTGTTCTGTGTGATCTAAGTTATGAAACCATGGATTTGAAAGATGAACGTGTAAGGAGAAAGATTGAAACTGTACTGTCTACAACACACCTGAGAAGAGAGGACAGCAATCATGTAGTTCATTAATTTATCCTGTAAAACACCCTCAAGTCAATGGATTTGGAGCTTGGGGATGAGTTTGGCAATAAATAAAAACATTATATGCATTGAGAAGTAAAAGTACCGGTCTCTATTTAGTTGAGGCATCGACTAATTTGTTATATCATTACATGTGCTGGTGTTGCACTCATTATTAATACACTGATAAAGCTTCTTAGTTGAAATTCGAGGCCAATATGAGAGGTATCCAGTTGAAGAACCACTGTTTCCAGCACCTTTATGAATTCATGCAATCCCTGCACAGGTTTCTCTCACTAGACTTTTGGGACAACTTCATAATGCAAGAACTGCTTCTCCAAATCAAACATTTGACTTTGGGGAAGAAGCATAAACCTTCTCTCTCTTATGTTTAATTGATAATCGTATCATTCTTGAAAAGTGTTAATATGTTTTTGAGGCAGAAAATGGCTTGGCAAGCATACTTGGCTAAGTAGCTGTGTGATAGGATCTATGGAGCCCTCGGGATGGTGGCGTTTCCCTGAGACTCACTAACCGCCATCACGACCATGCTAATATTGTACCACTAATTGACAATGACAATTGAAGCATGATTTATCAAAGAAGAGATAAGAAGTATCATGCTTACTGTCAGGTATATCTTGTTTTGCAGGGTGGTTGCCTTAAAGGAAGTTTTGTTGATGCAACCCCATTTGCCAGCTCCACTAGTCAAACTAATGCAGAGTCACAATCCAAATCAGGCACTCCTATTGAGGAATTTGGACCTGTGTTGGCTTCATATGGTTTCAATTATCATGGAACAGAAGTCCTGTACAGTGGTGTTCTCGGTACAGAACTCACTTGTGAAATATTTATTGGCCCGGTTTATTATCAACGTCTGCGGCACATGGTTTCTGATAAATTTCAGGTGTGTATTGGATTTTCTTGCATAATCCTGCAGTAAAAGAAATGTGTGGCGCAAGAATCTTATTGGATTCACTTTTGTGTGTGCTTCATTGATTTTAGCGATCCTATATAGTAGTATCTTTTGCTCAGTTTGATGTTATAGTCCAAAAGTTAACAGACGTGTGATTTCTTTGGCATTCATGTTTATTTGAACTGCTGAGGGATTGGACACGGGACAATTATGATGTCCATGTATATAGGTTTTGCTTCTGAAGTACATGAGAGTTTCTCTACATCCACTGTGCATTTCTTAACCACCAGCAAGTGCCTAAATTATATTCTTTGAAAGTGGGAACTGTTTTGTGAATGCAAAATTCTAGACCTGAGTGACAATACATGTGGAAGCTATAGTAATAAGAGGTCTGCTCTGAATGCTCTGTACTTTTCATTGTATCTATTGACTGGTGAGATTTTCTTGGATAATCATCATAGTTTTTTTCTTTTAATCGCTGGTGCCATATTCACATATTTCATTTATCTTGAATCTGTGAATTTTGTTTTATATTATTTACTTTCGAGGTTAAAGTGTCACATTCTTAATAGGTGATCTGATGCTCGAGTATGTCATTTATTAGGATGATCCTCTGAAGATCTCATGTTTGATGTTGCTTCTGTATGGTGAACCCGATTGTTACATCCATTTCATTCTACGTATTTCATAATCGAGGATCAGATTATTGAGGAACCCTGTTCTCAGCAGTGTCATTGCGATCATAGCTTTTTCTGGACTTGTTCGAGTTTTTATCAACTTGTACTGTATATATTATCTTCTTATCATTGGATAAACCTGTGAGCACTGTTCACTAGAGTTGTATAAGCTTTCTGTGGTTTAGACAATTTTTAGAAAGGAGTAATTGACAATTTTTGTAGAGGTCCACAAACTTAAATGCATACTCTCCCCCCTCCTCTTCCCCCACCACCATCAAAAACAAAAAAAAACAAAATCCCTCCTTCCCTACCTCCCTCCTTCCTTTCCTCTCTCACTCTCATATTTATGTACATGCAGGTAAGGTCAACAGGGCCAATCAACCCCGTTACGAGGCAGCCACTAAAGGGAAGGAAAACTGGGGGAGGTATTCGTTTTGGAGAGATGGAGCGTGACGCCTTACTTGCTCACGGAGCATCTTATCTCCTTCACGACAGGCTCCATACATGCTCTGATTACCATGTGGCACATGTGTGCTCACTATGCAGGAGTCTTATTTCGACATCTTCTGTCCAACACAAGAGAAAAAATGGCACACAACCAATCCCAGGCTTAAACCTAGGTGGAAGTATTGCTTCAAAGATCATCTGCCACAGTTGCAAGTCAAGCAAGGGAATTGAGACAGTGGCCATGCCTTATGTCTTTAGGTATTTAGCAGTTGAGCTTGCGGCTATGAACATTAACTTGTCCCTACAGGTACGTGAAGGAGCATGATGATCTTGGAGGTAACTTATGGAGCGCTCTGTGCTACTGCCTGATGTAATCATTTCAAGGATGTCTTTGTCGCGCACTTCTCAGTTTTGTAGTGGTTAACCAGTATTTTATCTCCATGCTTTGATGAGTGGTGACAGTTGCTGTGTGTTGCGACCAATGGGTTTGTCAAAGGAAAAGCTTTTCTGTAAGCTTTTTAAGGCATGTTGCTCCATTTTTTGTTCCAGTTCGGCAAAAGAAAGGTGAGGTGTTTGTCAAACATAACTATTTAATAATGTGTGTTTATGGTTTAATTATTCATGCATTTATAGGAAATAACCTCTTGAATCATACAGTTATTCATGCATTTATGGGAAATAACCTCGTCTTATTCATGAAGTATGCAAGCTACCTCATAAAAACGTTTCCGTAATAAACGCATCTGATAAAACAGTTTTTTCAAGTTAGAGTGATTGATTCATATTGACAATCGTGCGCATTCTTTTGTTTTATCAGTTATAGATAGGTTAGTAAATGCGTGAAACCTTCTGTTCCATGATTCATAGAAGGTTAGAAGCAGTATTTTTAAAAGGGAAAATATATAGAACTGATTTCTCAATAGACTCAAATTTGAAATATATCTGGAGGCATCAACATTTTCAAAAAAATTTCTACTAACCCTTTAAACACATATAACTACGTTTTATATCACGTTTTCATCCCAAAAAAAATATAAAATATCAGACTTTTCCATTCTAACTTTTCACATTTATTTTTCTCTCTCGTTTTGCTCTTTTCCCTGTCTGTCTCTCTCTATCTAAATCCAGCAGCCAAAAGGCTTTGGCTCTCTCTCTCACGCGCTTCCTAACTTTACCCCCCTCAACCGCTCCCTTCCCCTCCCCTCCCCTGCCTTGCCCCCCCTTTTCTCTCTCTCTAAATCCAGAAGCCAAAAGGCTCTAGTTTTCTCTCACACACACTCGCCCTACCTTTTTCCCCCTCAGCCCCTCCCCTTTCGATGTCTCTCACCCTAAATTAGGCCTGTCGTTTTATTTGTCGAAATAATTTCCGGTTGGGTTCTCAATCATTGAACCCCACAATGAGAAAGGAGAGAGCAAGAGACGGGAAAGGCCACTTTTTTTTTTTTGTCCATCTTGAGTTTCAGATCCTCCTCTCATTTCTAGCCACTATTTGTGAGGATCAAAACTTTGGAGGTTGGCCACCTTTCTTTGGTCGAAATTCTAAAGCGAGAAAGTGAGATTACCTAGCAGGATAATTATATCCCTCATCCGGTCTCTTAGTTAGATATTGACGTTATGGTCACCCATAGCTTAAAGAACAAACAAATTTCAAGGATACAGGATGCGATGCCTTATTAAAGACCTTACCCCTCTTATATTGATTAGGTCCCGTTCCTTTAGATTATAAGAAAGGGAAGTTTTCCTTATTCAGTGGAATCACCTCCTTGGATCAGCATATTGCCCACTTTCAGGTGGCATGTCGGGAAACAGCGAGTGATGGGAGATTTCTTCTCTGACAATTTGTTGAGACCCTCGATGGCTCGGCATTCCAATGGTATGCCCGGCTTCCTCCAAACTCGTTGCATTCATGGGAGGAGATGGAGAAATTGTTCTATCAAGGCTTATATGAGGTCGAGAGAGGTTCAAACTATTGAACTTCTCACCCTGACTCAAGAACTAGATGAACCGGTGGATCAGTTCTTATCAAGATGGAGAAACTTGGCTTCTCGTCATCCGAATCCTATGCCTGAGAAGGAAGCAATCCAGACTTGCGTGCGAAACATACGATCTGAAATTGCTCTACATGTCGAGGCATCCAATCCGACCTCCATGTCATAGTTGATCTTTAAATCAGTTTGCATAGAAAGTTTGTCACGCCATCATGGTGGGACACGATAGCCATCTACAAGTTCAACAAACAACTTGGGCAATGGTAACTCTCAGAATAACACATGGGGCAACCAACAAAAGGGGGTAATCAGTGCAGCCGTCATGGTCACTGATTCAAAGAAGGCTCCCTCCCAAACTTTGGACCTCTCTAAAGGGGTAATCGCGACAACAGTGACACCCCAGGCTGGCAAGCAACAACCATCGTATAATTGGGTACCTCCACCAACCAACGTTGATCGGGGTGATTATTTCGCCAGACATAGGAATAAGGTCTATCCCTTCGAGAAGGAATGGGTCCCTACGCTGTTTTGGTTACTATTAAAGTAGAATATGATCCAGCTTCCAGAAACCAAGTTCCCTGAGCAGTTTGGCCTTTGACATTCAAGCGAATTATTGTGCCTACCATCGAAGGATCAATCATCCCACAGATGATTGCTATACGCTAAAGAATATCATTGAGGCCCTCATTCTGAAAGGTCATATAAAGCTTGAAGATTTGAAGAAGGCCTTTGGGGCAACTGAAGCCTGTCCTACCGTAACCATTCAAAAGGAAGACGAAATGCTTGATATCCTCCACTCTTTCTTCATTATAATGCTTCAGGAAGGCATAATCACATCGAAGCAGGCAAGGCAACCCCACTGCCTTGCTAAGGGGACTAAAGATCGTTGGTGCCAATTACATCAAATAAGAGGTCATTATTTGTCAAAATGCACAACTTTCCTTGATATAATTGCAAAGAAGATGCAGGAGTGTCAAGAATTTATAATCTCTCTATAATTGATCCCCAAATCACTTCTCCATCGGGGCAAGAAGATCTCACAAACCAAGACCTTCCTATTAATGACTTAGACTCTGCGGAACCCTCGGATTCCCAACCATGGATAACCTACCATGGCCGAAGCAGACTCAAGTCCTTGAGACGAGAAGCGGTTCGCCAAGCTAGAGCGGTTTGCCACCCCAGTGAGACAAATCAGACATCACGTCAGAAAACCAGAAAGAGATGAGCACCAAGGGCTGCTCACTGAAGAAACAAGACCGCTCAACCCATAGTCAAGCAGGAATTTCTCAGGCCCCTTCTCCTGTTGCCAACCTTGCTGGACTTCATCCCTGGCACAATTCTTTTTCCTTCTTCATCCTGTCAAGAGGATGCTTTCGTCTCATCTCCCACTCAGCACACGTCCAATGAGGGTGATGACGTTAAAAGAACTCCGCAACGGTTTAAGCAAGGGAAAGACCTAAAAGATCCCCTACACCCGTCTAACTCTAGCGATGACGTAAAAAGCTGCCCTGATCGGTCTGATGAGGGGAACGACCTTAAAAGTCCCCCACCTTCTAACCCTACTTCTCATTCTTCCTTGTCTATGTCTCCTACAAGTACAACCTTGATATGTCCGGACTTCGATGCTCTCAATAGAGAACTTGAGGGATCGAACATAACTAGGATGCAACGGAAGCGACTGAGAAAGACCCTGGCACAGGCAGTAGGATTCTTAACAATTGATGATGCCCTGACAGCTAAAGTTAAAGCAGAGCCACCTTCTTTAAAGAAGCGCAGGAAGTCGAAGCCAAAGAACCCCAGTGGCCCCTTGAGCCTGACTACGAGCAGAGGCTGAGAGAATCAATGGGGGAAAGTTTTTATTCTCAAGAGGCTTTCCATATTGTACAAGTCTATGAAGCATAGGTCACTGCAGAGCACCCACTACACACATCTGCGCAAGGGTCGCGTGATTCACAAGAGGACACTTCACGTCCAACCTTTGTTGAACACCAAAACAAGCTCCTGCAGCCTGATTGGCTTCCCATTTTTGAGGTCGACCCTTTTGTCCCTCCATCCGAGAAAGGCGTAGAAATCATGACATGCTCTGAAACCCTATTGGAAGTAGAGATGTCAGGGTCATGGGTCTTTGTGCTTGAGGTTGATGAAAAGACCTCTGAAAATAATGATGAAGAGTTCCAAGAGGCCCCATAAGAATGGGAAGAAGGTGGTCAAGCCACAGCTAACGAACTCGAAGAAATAAATCTTGGAGACAAAGCAGATCCCAGACCCACTTTCATTTCAGTAAATATGTCTCAAGAAGAGAAAGAGCATTTCACGACCTTCTTGCAAGCAAACCGTGACGTTTTTGTTTAGCATTATCGTGAGATGCCCGGCTTAGACCCTCAAGTACCTGTTCACCATCTTGGCATCGATCCGGCTATCCAACCCGTCAAACAGAAATCGAGAAGGTTCAGGCCTGACCTCGAGATGCAGATAGACGTCGAGGTGACCAAACTCAAACAAGCAGGCTTTATTCCCGAAGTCAAGTACCCGAAATGGCTAGCAAATGTTGTTTCGGTCAAGAAGAAAAATGGCCAAATTATGGTGTGTATTGACTTTCACGATTTGAATACCGCCTGTCCCAAGGATGACTTCCCGTTGCCATTCACCCAGATGCTCATCGACTCTACCGCTCATTGTCAAACCTTTTCCTTCATGGACATATACTCCGGCTATAATCAGATAAGGATGGCACCTGAAGATGAAGAGGCCATTTTATTCTTGACTCCAAAAAGGGTCTTCTATTACACAATGATGCCTTTTGGATTAAAGAATGCTGGCGCCACGTACCAGAGAGCAATGACGACCATTTTCAAATACATGATACACAAAGAAGTGGAATGCTATGTAGTTGATTTGGTGGTAAAATCTGAAGAGGTGGATGCTCACTTGAGAGACCTTGAGAAGGTATTCGAGCGTTTGCGTCTTCGTCAACTTAAAATGAACCCGCCAAAATGCGCTTTCGGAGTGTGCTCTGAAAAATTCTTGGGGTTCATCGTCAGACATCGAGGGCTTGAAGTCGAGCAAGTCAAGATCAAAGCAATCTAAGAAATTCTGTCACCGACGGCGCTTCGAGAACTGCGCTCCCTCCAAGGGCAACGGGCCTATATTTGCAGGTTCATCTCCAACCTCTCAGGTCACTGTAAACCCTTTACACACCTACTAAAGAAAGATACCCTATGCATCTAGGATGAAACATGTCAGACAGCCCTTGACGACATCAAGCATTATTTACTCAATCCTTCAGTACTTTCAACACCAGTATTGGGAAGACTCTTGGTTCTATATGTGGCTGCTTTAGACGAGTCCCTCGGAGCATTGTTGGCACAGAACAATGAAAAAGGAAAAGAAATCGCGTTATATGACCTCAGTTGCAGGATGCAAGGGGCTGAGAAGAATTATCTCCCTATTGAGAAGATGTGTCTGGCCGTAATCTTCGCAGTACAAAAACTCTGTCATTACTTGCTCGGTCATGAAGTGAAACTTATATCGAAAACTGATCTTGTAAAGTTTCTCATGACACGCCCATTCTTGTCGGGACGCCTGGTTAAGGGGGCAATATTACTGATAGAGTTCGACATCACGTATGTCCCCA